TTATCATTCATAAGTACTTCTAAACTTTCCGAGGGTAGATTTTCTATCCATAATTTTGTTGTTCCTACAAATGTTCTTTCTATGTATCTTGGTGTTTTTGCTGTTTCTATTTTATTGTCTATTAAATGTTTAGACATATTTCCTATCCATATTAATATTGCTTTATTTATATCTGCGACACAATCTAAATCTAAAAAATTGTATTGTTCATTTGCTGGTTTAGGTGTCCAATTTTTATTTAATCTACTGTTCCATATTGCATTATTTCTATCTGATTGTTGATAGCTCTCTGTATAATAAGTTGGTGGTGTTCTCCTAGGACTAACTCTAGGACTATTTTTGGGACTATTATCTGGGGTTTTAGCTCTTGACGTACTAGGTCTATTCATATCTCCTGTGTTTATCTCTAATTTTTTCGATTTATTTATCTGTTCTAGACTTAATCTGATACATCCATCAAGTAATCAATGTACGAACAAGATATATTCCTTAGTAAATATTATTTATGGTATTACTTGAATTACAAGTAAACTTGGATCATAAGTAAGAAATAATTAATAATAATTCTTACATGTTCTTCCACCATTATAATATTGTGTGCTAAAAAATGGTGGTGTAGTTTGTGAAGAACCATCCTAAGATGTTGGTGGAATAGTTATAAGATTTTTAAAAGGTGTAAAATCTTAATGTATAAATCTGCTCTGATATCAATTGATATAAAACTAAGGACAAACAAATACTTGTAGGAACCTGGTTCCTCGGGTCGTACTTGAATAGATTATAAATAACACTTAAGTTACCTTGAAAACTTCAATTCTCAATTAAATAAAAAACACGACCTACATTATGTAGAATTTTCAGAAACCTCCACTAACTTCAAGGAGTGATTTTACATTATAACTCTATAATTTAAGCGACTAACTCTGGTACATCAACTCAAAGCTAAATCTAATTGTCCCAACAACACTCAAAGAATATAAATTCTTATATGTTACAATTGTTACTTCCTCACCAATAAAACAATAACAATATGAATGTTTATGACTGAATAACTATCCTTACAAGTTCAAAATAAACAACACCATTCTACCTTTTCAATTGAGTTGCTTCTCTTTTTCTTCTATGTTGCCTCTTCTTTTTTCAAGATAAATTCTCTTATTTTAAAATTATTACATGGAATTGACAAGATGAACAGTCTTTACAATATCTTTTTATAGCATGTGTAATTAGACCGTAGAACCTTTTAACTAACTTAACTTGAAACTCCAATTCCTTTGGGATAAGATTAGGCATAAATGGTACTCTCTCTGTTTTAAAACGAAGAACCTATTTTTCTTTTGGCCAAATACATAGATAAATTTCTAAACTTGTTGGGTTTTTCCCCTCAAGTACCTCAATTATACTATTTTCCTATTGAATCATTGAACAACCCATAATTTGTTCTTATTAAACACCGTTGAGTGATGTGGAACTATATACCCCACGATACCTCACCCGTAGGCGCCACCCCCCACCACTCTCGTCAATTATTTTTTAAAAAAACATGTTGTTGGAAACAATATTTTAAATTTTAAATTTTTTTTATGCCATCCTACCCCTTACCCACCCAGCCCCACAGGTCCCTACCACCCCATCAACTTTTTTTATAAAAAAAAATTCCTGGTTCGAAACTTTGGCTCAGGTCTTGTGTCAGAGCTCAGGGTCGATTTTGAAACGGTCATTAAGGTCTTGTTCTAGTTTGGGTGTCGAGGGTCGGTACCTAGATTAATTATCAGGGTTGATTTTTGATAAGAAATCATATTCCTAAATAATCAGTTTTTAGTCTTAGGAAAAAATTGAAGATATTATCTGAAAAGTATTTTTCATTTACCAATTAAACATTAAAATATATTTTTCAGAAAATATTTTCTACTCACCAACCAAACATGAGAAAATAAGTTAGTAGTTCATTTATTTTTCAAGAAAATATTTTTCATAAAGAACATTTTCCTTCGTACCAGACACACTCAAAAATTAATTGCTTTTGAGATATTATGCAATTGTTTTATTAAGGTGAATAAAGTAGGAGTTGCACTTTTTCTTTCTTCGTGAGGTTTTGTCCCATTTGATTTTCTTTTGAAACTTTTTAACGAGACAGTAAATAATGTGTACTAAAAGATTTTAAGGAGAAACACAATCTCTGGATGTCCAACGGAGAGTATTATGAATATATATCATTTTTATGGATGTCCACAAAATGAATCTCTCAATCTTACCACTAACACTTGACCATCTAGAGGCACACGTGCTCTTACTATTGACACTTGAATATAATTTTGGGAGAATAAAAGAGAACTCTCATTTTTGTGTCTCTTCATCTTCTTGATTATAATATTAGGAATAATTTGATAGAGTGTATAAGAATAATGCTGAATAGAATGTATTAGTAATGTTTGCGTTAGTTATTTAAATAGATTATTTTTTGATTTGGTGTATTAAAATAACATGTATTGTATAAAATATTCTCCACAATTATGGCGAAAAATATATAGAAAGAGTTTTTAGGGTAATTGTGTCTTTAAAATGCTAATGCAAATATATTTAAAACAATCTACTAAAGTGTACCAAAAAACTACTACTGATACAAAAAGCTAATGCATACATTAGTTTTACTACTACTACACTCTTCCTCTGCATGACATATTTAAAACAATCTATTAAAGTTGTTCCAGAGGATCAAAGCAGTCAGTTATATAAGGAAAAAAAGACTTGCATAATTTATTAATGGGAAAAGAGATGCACTAATAAATGTCTAGAGAGGATTCCATAGAGCTGAATCACTTTCACCACATGAGTGATGCACATGTTTCATCCTCTCTACCGAATTGCATACTCCGCTGCATGACCAATCAAACGACGCCACACACATATTCCCTCCTTTAGCCTTCCATTCACACTCGGGCGGAGTCCCACAACACATCGAACGTTCATCAACATGTTCTACTTCCAGTCCAATTAACCAAGATCCCAGTGACACATCTTCATTTGCATATCTATGTAATATACCCCTGATTCATACATGTACAATCATGTTAAATTTATATTACCTTACTCGTCATTCAATCTAAAGTTCCATTAGAGAAACGTACGAGTTCATGGAGATGTAACCAGCAAGATCTCTTGAGATAGCGTATATTTGACCTGTCGCATGCCTGAAATACTTGTTCCCTTCTTCTCCAAATTTCAAATACTCAGGCTCATGATACTTTAATCCTCTGCAGAATAAAATTTCATTTCAACCCTGAGGGAAATAAATAAATATCGATTTTGTTTTAGGGAACAAATTGAAGACGGACTAGACTTACTTTTGAGAAAGAACTGGCCCTGACTTCATGCACCCGATATAGACTCGTGGTCTTGATTTGTATTTTGCTAATGTTACTGCAAGCATACCTGCAGATGTTTTAGTTAATTAACTGAGTTATGTATGCATAAAGTATTAGTTATTTGTGTGTTAAAGGCTAAATTAGTCACCCAAGTTGAGATGGACATCATCATCCACTTTAACGTAGAAGTCCGCGTCCCAAATGGAGATTACTTTAGAGAAATATAATCTCGTCTTGGTGGACAACTCATGATAACCTTCGATGTGGTCAAGTCGAAGGAAATCTTTGTACTGAGCTTCCTCGCTATCAATGGCGCGATCCAAAACTCCTTGTGTAGCACTATGTCCTATCACAAATCGTATTACTATACCTTTCTCTTTCTCTAATTTCCTTAGCTTATCTCCTGCATTACAAATATACATGGTATCAAAATTTTCTACACAATTCAAACTGATTATTACAATAAGCAACACCTTTAGGCATCCATGTTTCTCTAAGAGAATCGCGTCTTTTTCTGCTGCTGAATGCTGTATTTATTCCAATCACCATAAATGCTTTATTTGGAATGCTCTGATTCGATGCTCTGTTTTCCTTTGTATTTTGAGTGACTTTTTGCCTTGTCCTTGCTATAGCTAGTTCCATTTCCAGTGTTGATATACTTTTATCAAGTGATCTGTTATAAAAAAAAAATATATGCACAAATCTAAATGGTATATATTTGAGTCATGCACTTGATTAAAATGTGTGATCGCTTCATTTAAAAATTAAAGGTTGATACATTATCAAGAATGTGCTTACTGAATAGCTTGATGGGTTTTCATGACTTCCCCCATGATGTATCCTGAATTGGTTTCCGCTAATTTCTGCCAAAATATATGAAAAATGAAGTGAAAATCATTCATAAGAGCACAGAAAGTTAAATTTTCAAGTTTCAAAATTGAGTTTACGCGCTTGTGATCACATTCGCGTGAAATGGTGCTAAGCTTGTCATGATTAGACATGGTGGGTAGCACGAGGTCGGTGTTTGCTTCAGAATCAGGTTGAGTCCATTTCCGGCTAGCGAAAATTGTTCCTCCCAGAAAGCTAGCAAGGCATAGCAGCATTATGGTTTTCCCAGAGACTGGCAGCTTCCCTGATCTCATTTTATGAATTTGGCAGACACAGAGCCGTTGACCACAACTAGGCGCTTCTTTTGGCAGTTGTTTGTTTCTTTTTGCAATTTTCTTCACAAACAACAACATTCAATATCTCTTATGTATAAAATGATAATGACTTCAAACTATAGCTGAATGATTTGTAAATACAATTCCGAGTAAAACATGTCATATGCTGAATTGCATGGAATGTTTGGCCTGACCTAAACTAAGAAATAAATTAGTTTTCGTAAATTATTTCACAGCAAAGATGGAAATACTGGACAGAAACAAACTCTGTATCAAAAGTAAATCAATCATGTTAGGCAGAAGATATTAATACTAGTTCCTGAAATGAATTGGAGATTCATTTATCATGTGCAATGTCATAAACAAGATTACCTCATTTGGAATACAAACAAGTGGAACACAATAGATATAACGATATTCATTTTCAGCTAAAAGACATTCGTTCGATTTGGGTACACTATTTTTTTTCACAAATGTGCAATTTTCGTTACAGTAATAATAGAAGAGATGATAGTACCTGCTAGGGCATGATGATAATTGAAGTGACAATTGTGATATGAAATATGTGTGTCATTTTAAAGAAACTTCCCTTCTTATTAGATGAAAAAGTCCAGCTGCAAGCCAGTCAGTTTAGTCATGTAACTGTCATGTTTCAACGAACTGTTCATCTAATCTAAGCATAAAAAGAAATTCCTCTCTCTGTTTTTTTGAACCTACTACAATGCACCTTTCTCTTAATACTTGATTTATTTTTGAATATGAACATTGTCTTACCGATCGATGCAATTAAATTTGACAAGATTGGCCTAAATATCAGCTCTATGAACTCCCCAGTTTTTTTCATAATGTTGGAAAGACAAATGGAGTTAGGAGAATTTATTGTTTGTCAAATATTTTGAAATTAAGAGGACAAATTTCCTCCATTAGACTTAATAAAAATCCTTCATTTTCAAAATATTATATTAAAGATTTATGGGCAATTTCTTTGTTTGAATTGAAAGAATTTGGACATGTGAGATGCTTTAAGATTGTTCTTGAAAAGAATTTGGACGAGTGGTGCTTTTTTTTTTTGAACGTTTTTTATTAATCTTAATTGCTAGAAGTTATAAATGTAATGATGCAAATCAAATCTTGGGTATGGCTGAGCTTTGATTCTATTCTTAGTGAGTGTTTTGCTTGAGGACAAGTAATAATTCAAGTTTGGGGGGTTTGATGAGTTGGTAATTTACCCATTCATTTGACTCAAATTCATGAATTATTGTCGTGTTTTAATGCTAATTGAAGGGATTTAAGAACCTAGTTCTCTAGGATGCAGGCATTCCTTGGAAAAAGTAAGTTTGACGGATTAGAAGCTAAAAAGCGTCGTAGCACATTGGCAATGGAATTGGCGTCTCGCAGAAGCCAACAGGTGTCTCGACAGTAAATGTTGACTTGAATGGAGCAATGTTGCCTCATGTTTACCTTATAGAACTGAAGGTTGATGCGAGTGACAACTAGTGCTCCCCTTTCTTTGATTGACGTCTTGCTAGTCCAGCACAAGTTTGAAAAATGGAAGCTTGTAACACCTCATATTAGAGAAAGGCTAGATACGAGTCAAATGGGTATGTCAAGAACCCACGGGTGGACCACGGAACCCTTCACGGAGCCCTGAAAGGGCCATGTAGGGGACCACGATCCGTTGGGTGCCCGTAAGGGGTCCCACAACTTTCCCAAGCATGTGGACCTCCCAGAGACGCCTAGACGGCATGCCGTGAGGTTGACGACCGTCCAAGGGCACTTCAAGTTTCCCACTCAGAAGGGGTTTCTCCTCTAGTCACTAGTCTAGGACCACGTAAGTCTAAACGGCCCGTGAATCCCCCACACGAATTATGAAAGGGATTTATCAAACTTGTTTATGGTCAACTTCAAACAATCATATTTTTTAGCACAAAATTAATTAGGTGGCCAATGGCTTATCAAATTAAAGATCTTTGAGTCTTTTTTTCGATGCCATCGAGTTTGCCTAATTCCAAGCTCGGAGTAATGCATTATGTCCAAAATAGTGAAGCCCTGTCAGAGTCACAACCCGTTAGACGAGCTGTGGTGCTATACCCAACCTGTTTAGGCCTTCTAGTGTGTCAATTTGGCAGTTTCAAGTTAGGGGTTTACAGGTCTTTTCTCAATTGTTTTAACTCAATACAATGTCGTTTACCTTCTTCCTAAAGCCCTTTATAATGTTTTTTTACCCTCAAAATCACCCAATTCAATTCATCATTTCAAATTTCTAAAAGAAGAACAAGTTCATCCTCCCAAATATTTCTCTCTCTTAAGTTTGAAGAAGAAGGCTAGGGTTTCGAGTCAAGTCTCCAATTCCACCGTATGATTTCAAGCTTTAACATCAAGGTATGATAGTATTCATCTATGGACTTGTTTCTTTCATAGGGTTCCTAAACTCTCCAATTTACATGTTAGAGATCTCCAATTGAAGTTAGGGGTTTCTTCCATGTCATTGGTTCCTTTCCATATTGGTTCAATTGATTGTTTTATGAACTATTATGAATGAATTAGGATACTTACATGTTTTTAAGATGAATCCCCACGAACCCATACATAAACCATGTTTTCCCAAGCTATGATAATATAATGTGGGTTTCGAACAATGAAAAATGAGTTTATGAAGATATGTATGTTCTCAATTGTCATACAGAGTCCTAATGGCAGTCTTCAGGATGTCTGGTGCCCTAATCCTCAACTGGTTGTAGCCCAACCTGAAATCTATCTTAGAAAACACAGTTGCACCATGAAGTTGGTCAAATAACATGTGACATATGATATATGTTCTTGATGGTTAGCTTGTTCAGCTGTTTGCAATCGATACACATACTCAAGGTACCATCTTTCTTTTTCATGAATAGGACAAGATCACCTCAAGGGGATACACTTAGGATAATGAACCCCTTCCCTGAGAGGTCCAGAAGGTTCTCCTTAAACCCCATCAACCTAGTTGGATCCATCCGGTATGGCGAGATAGAATCTGGTTGCTTCCCAGCTCAACATCAATACCAAAATGAATCTTACGGTCAGAAGTGAGACTATGTAGATCGGTAAGAAACATGTCTGCATACTCTCCAGCCACTAAAACCTACTCAAGAGAAGGAGTGTCGACACTAGTACAAATGAAATGCGCAAGAGAAGTTAGACAACCTTTCCCTGCCAATCTTCATGCCATAAAAAGAGATCCAACCACTCGAAATTTGGCTGTCAATATGAGTTCGCAAAAGCGGAGAAATACTAGACAAGACCAATGTACCAATCATGGAAGAAATACAAGACCGCATGGTAATGAGAGACAACTAAGACATGCCTAGAATAAGTAAAAACACACCATCTAATAAGATCAGGTCTACCCAAGTGTCATACCCTAGGATGGTTACCACACAAGATCTATACACGTGATCCACTACTAAAGAATCACCTACGGGGCAGCTACACGCATTAGCACAAGCAATGATTCACAATATACTCCAACCGCGTAGCTTAATAAGCACACATATGAAATGTATTCCCTGGATCAAACAAACCATATGAAAGTTAATGAAAAATGTATACCATACATGTGATGACGACATCTGAAGACTATGCCTCTGGCCTCTTAGAAAAACATACATATGGTTGTTTCTACCTCAAGCATGATTGACCTTGCTGAAGACTACCTCGAGTACCATAAGGACCACTCTGCTACCTTCAGTACACCCCTAGTTGATTGAATTAGAGCCATGTGGGCATGAACCTACCAATCTAACTATCTAAAAGGACAACCAGTACAATAATCTCTCGCAAAGTCCCAACTCATCACACTCATAGAAACCTCAGCCTTATGTAACTGTTTGAGTTGACTCAGCTAAAAATTTATGTCCACCATGGCCTGAATGCCCTTAATGTGATCTTCAAAAATTCTAAACTTTAGCTTTACTCATTGCCTCACCCATCTTACCACTAGCACCCGCAGTGCCACAATGGATAAGATGAAGATAAGATGAAGAGTTTCCTGAACCATCCTATTAGGGTGAAAGTGTTGTGGGTAATCTTTGTCGAAAAATCCTCTACTATGACACTAAGGCCTACTAAAACCACTTTGACGGCTGGGCCTCCTTTTGATACCTCCATATGCCTCACAGTGGATCCCCTCAATGGTGTGTACATGATAAATTGTCTAGAAAAATGAGTAGTCTGATGCCATATTCTGCTCTTGAGATAACTGAAGTAGAAATATCAACCCCCAAACCAATGTGCACACACTCTCAAGCTCTATTGACAAAAGAATAGTCACATGTTTGTCTATCTGTACTCTACAACTGTAATCGATCACTACGTCAAGTTGGTGAACTCATTTTGCAACCGCTTCCTAAGGATGTGAGGTAGATACTTCTCCAAGAAAGCTTCAGAGAACTTAACCCAAGTAATCATAGGTGACCCCAATGGTATGCAATCGAGATAAGAACTTTACCACTACTCGCTGACCCATGCATATGGAAATAAGTGTAATAAACATCATGAGAGTCCACCATATAGAGGTTATGCAACCTATCTTGACATCTGACTAGAAACTTGTTAGCATCCTCGCTCACAACACTTGTGAATCTGGGAGGAACTAATTATTGAACTATCCTGACATTTTCTACTAATTATAAGAAATAACTTGTCTTGCTTCCACAGGCGGAGCGACTGTGAGAACCGACTGAACCACTACACAAGGCAACACTCCTTGAATCTGACACCAAGATTCCTGGTCAACGCGGAAGTCTTTGTCTCGTCTGAAAACTTCCAATTGAAATATTAGGAAAAGTCCCTGTGTAAGACATACCTTCCATGAAATTAAGGATCCTTGCAAAAGGTCACTATGATAAAAATACACATTAACATAGAATGATAAATCTTTTACCTGCACTAGTTAATTGTCATTGGATCTGGTGTCACTATAGGCTTTAGGACACTTACGATGAATACTAAATGCCACTAAGAAAATATGTTTCTAATGGAGATTAAGCTATTGTTGTAAATTAATTACCTCTAAAGATCATTTTTGATGTACTGTGTCTTTTAGCACTTGTGCGTCCATGAATCTCGGTGGAGGCTGCGTAGGTCCCATACGATTCAGTTGAAACTAAACTTGATCATCCAGTACCTCGGGTTGGTTATGCAACACGTGATTTACGTTGACCTCTAACCCTAGCTTGGGTTCCATCTGGAGTTGCAAGAGGCTCTCTTTACATACGGACGATCTCTTCCAATCCATCTATGGAAGAACGAAACAAATGACGTTCAGAAGTTGTTGTAATCTAGGACGCATGATAAAATACATTAAAATGTTCCTAATAATGTTTTACAACCTCCAAATATTGAATACATATGTCACTATACCGATCCACGAGAAGATAATTGGAACTTGCACTTATAATGATAAGACTTGTGAAAATAAAGTTCTAATACCGTACTTTCACGACCTAAAAATTGGGCCATGATGGTGCACACCACAACCTCGAGTAGGCAAGCCAACCCCAAAACTAGAACTCGCGGAAATAAAAATTTAATAATAAGAAACAAGAGGAAAT